AAAACCAAAAGAGCCCCACCAAAAAATGTGCAGAGGGCAAGAGTTAAAGCCATCTGCCTGAAATCATTGTGTAAAACATACACACAATGTTGGGGAAATAAGCCAATTATGTGTGCTTCACAGGAGGTGGGGGACTGACCTTTGTGTATAATTAGTTCTTTTATTTAAAGCAAAGATTTTGAATAGAATAACTAATTAGCTGTCATAAATGGCAAATTGAAGATTTTGGCCAGATTCCTTGGGGAGTGTGGGAGGACGTCCCTCCTCCCACCCCGCACGATATGCTCTCGCTCCCCTCATTAGGCTTGTTTTTAGTTCTCCGCGGTGGTAATGAGGAGCGCGGTGGCGGCACTTCTCGGAGCCCCCCCAACAAGGCATGAAACGCGGCCGGAGGAGAACCGCCTTCCGCTCCCGCCGCTTTCGCGCGGCACATGTGGGTGTAGCGGAGGGCTCGGGTGGGAGAGGGGGAGGCCGAGGGGGGCTGCGGGAAGTCAGAGGGGGGTCTGAAAAGTCCTGGTGATATCACCTGTGTTTTATGCTCTGGACTTGACTGTATAAAATACAGGCAAGCTGCAAAGCCTTGAGGCGTATATCATTAGCCAGCAGTCCCGCATTACTCTTTCAGACCAATTAACCTTTAGAGTTGCATTAAAGAAATTAGGTGGTGAACTTCCACGCTTTCAGAGGAGACCAGTAGCTTTCTTACAGACCAGAGCGCTGTGGAGCCGAACACCATAGGACCACTGCAGATAACTGTTATTTGAAAGGTCTACCGTTTATAAAAAGTTCCCAGGCTCTCTTGGAAAAGAGGCGTTATGAACAGTGCCCTTAAAGGAACTGCAGATGATTGCTAGGTGAATAGAAATATCAGTAAAATGGCTTAGAAAAATTTAGAGGTCTACTTAGTGGACACTTGTGTTATAAAGCCAGCTGAATAATTTTACAGAAAGACCCCGACTGAGGAGATACGGGCTGATTAAAGCTAGTTTGTCTGGCTGTGAATAGAGGTAAAGTTTAGATTACTCACTACAATAACAGCCTCTTTAGACACAGCCATAAATTTCAGTATGTCCAGAGGTGGTGTCTATAATTTTTTAATGTGCATTGGAGCTCTGAGCACTCAGAACAGGTTTTGTTTTGTATTTACCAGCAGTAAGTCTATTAAGTTGTAAAGGGCAAAGAAGGGAGTGTAGGTAGCCAAAAATAGAAAGGTTTCATCTACTGTTTCTAAGAAAAGATAGCAATGGATGGCTAGCAACAGGAGAGGAGAGAGCAACTTGATGGTACTTTCACAATTTGGTTATCAGTCAGCATTCCCTTTGCGATCATGTATTTAAACGGGTGAGTGTCCAGCTGTTACTTTTTCTACCTCTGCAACACGACTTCTCATTTCCTAATCCTTGCCTGCAGAGCACACGTGGAATTTGTCGAAGGTGAGCCCTTTGTTTCTTGACAGCCCTGGTTAGACACCTCGTGCCCCTGATCAAATTGAACTAGGTATCTTGGCATTTTTCGGTAAGTACTGGCAAAAAATCCGCGTAGAGAAATGAAGCGGCATTGCAGTCTTGCAGTGGGGACGTTTCCAAAAAGAAAGAGCAGCTCTCCAGGTGGTTTCTGCCTGCAAAGCCCGGAGTGCTTGGGGCTTGCTGGAAGGGAGGCGGGAGGAGGAAGGTGGGGTTTGGTGCGGGCTGTGTCCTCGCTCTGCAAGCCCCTGACCATGAGAGGGGTGAAGCTTCTGAGCCACTGCTCTCTTGTTGCTGGGAAATGACACCGCAAGCACGCGGGGGAACCCTTGCTGATGGAGTTTGGCAGTTTTTGAAATTTTGTTTCACGCCTTGCCTGCTGTGTCAACTCGCCAGCTAATTGCAGCTGCAATTTCTGTTGTGGTGTGTGTGCTCCGTGCAGACCGGTGGGTTGGGATGTCGGAGGGAAGCCTCACAGACCAAAATGTAATTTCAAAACACTGAACCCGACCAGCAGAGGCTGACCTTGCTCGTTATTATCTGAGTGGGAAGAGCAGCTTTGAACATCATATGATCTCTGAAATGGGATCTT